TGAATTTCCTCTTCATAATAAATGAAAGAAACTTTAGCTCAAGGAAAAAATATCATTTTACCAAGACCTGTATCAGTAAAGAAATTGGTAACTACAGCTTTCCATTGGAAGTCTAATACATTCAGTGGAAATTTGAATACATGCCAGAAATTTACAAGAAACAATTGACAGTCCATATAACACCATGACCATGGAAATAATCATAACTTCACAGATTACTTTGGAGCCCTTCATGAATCAATTAAACACAAGCTAGATTTATTGTCAGAACCCAGCATTCAGGATCAATTAAAGAGATTACAAAGACAGGTTACTGTTAATTACTAAGAGACAAACAAATCCATTTTACTTCACAAGCAACAATAAGATATTTGCTGTTACGGAGAACCCTACAGATCAAACAGAGGGAGCAATATAGAAGGATTTGGACCTGGGTCAAGCATAAACCAGAGGAAAGATCATAAAAACACCATGTTGTGTCAAGTGATGCAGTTACGAAGTAGTTATTTGTGGCATGAACTGTGACAGCTTGCACCTGAAAGGATAAAGGTAGATTTATTCTCATGTCGACAACACCTCAAACGAACCAGAACCACAATCTGATAATCAGTCTATACTTCAGAATATGTGAATTCGAGCAAGTACCTCGGCTGTATGATCCTTCAGAATATGCCTGCAATCATAGTTTCCCTCTTCAGACCTTTGCCAAATGCGAACAGTCTGCAACATTCAAAAACCAATCAAATGGAGATGCAAGCTAAAACATAATTAAACTTTGGGAGCAGTTTAGTCGTGGCTAAAGGATAAAGATGCAAAGACTACATCCTTCTAAAAAATATCTCTCAAGCAGTATAAGCCTAAAATAAGGACCACAACAAGAACTTTAGACTCGAAAAATTGGCTTACCTTATCTGCTGAACCGCTTAAAAATACGTCAATTGGAGCTACAAATTTTACACTAGTAACCTGCAAAAGAGGAATGTAGTCAGTCAATAAATATCAAAAGAAAAATGTAAACATAGCAGTTCTTGAATGAAATAAAGGAAACTGAAAAACCTTCTTAGAATGGCCACTGAGCGTTGATAAAATCTCTCCAGATGTTCTATTAAAGAGTACAGCATTTGAATCAACACCTCCAGTGGCAACAATGTCCTAACAAGTAACAACCAAAAGTAAAAGGAAGTTAACGGATAAAGTTTTACAGAGTTATCTGTAGAACAAACTTTAATAATACATACTAGTTAAGTGATTCTAACATTAGATAAATCCACTAAAGAAAAACAAAAAGGGTAAATGCATTCAACAGGCTGCACCTACACTCAGTTTTCAGTCCACAATCTGTACCAATATGGGATTAAGGTATAATGAAAATATCAAAAATCGCTAGCAGCTAGCCTAATGTAACATAATTGCACTAGACTAGAAGCCATTCTCATTTCCTCAATTTTGAAATGCAATATCCAAAGTATAATTGCTTCCTGTCTAGGTGTGTATGCAAAGCGAAAGTTTCATTAAAGAGGTTAACTAAAACTAGCACCACACCTTTGAAAGATTGATATCAATTGAAGTGATCCCAGGTTTGTTAGTCTTGTGAAGAGGATGACTAGATAGTTGGGTATACCTCTCCAACGCATCAATGGGAGCCAATGTTGAAGGTATCTGAAAGAAAACACAAGGAAAGGATTTTCACGAGGGGAACCAAAACACAATAAGTTGATATATACAAAGAAATATTTGGAATTAATTAAAACATGCTAGGTAAAAAGGGTACCTGGCGCTTTTTACGCTGTTGTGACAGAGCTGCATTACATTCTGTTAACTCAGCAATAATACTATCAGAAACCCCAGGACGCATTCTCTTTCCACCAGGGCCCACATCTTCACTCTCTGCACCTATGATTACAAAATAAACCTTAATAAGATATTGAATTACTTAAAGATAAATAAACATTAATTAAAATCATACTGAGAAAGAACCTCGTTTTCCATTGCTGAGAGCAGAAACATTGGCAGTAGCTGCTGATGCAGGCAAGGGTGCCTGCCTCTCAGCCTGTGCAAGTAATGATCTGGCTTCATCTCTTTCCTTTTTGAGTCTTGCAATCACACGGCAGGCAGCATCATGCTTTATAAAATAATAATAATTTGAATAATATTATAATTAGATAAAAAAATAGCCAGAAAAAAAACAACCAAAAGCAAAAGGGTAAATAAAAACTCAATATACTTTTAATTATCAAATTTGATAACCAAAAGGATCTTGACAAGTGATCTCTACAATCAATCTACTTTACAGTTGAGGATACACATTTTTAAAACAAAGACCCAATTAAAAAAGTGCAAAGATTGTACATAAAAGCTCGAGGACAAAAAAGAAATGTCCCCACATACATTTAGCTAAATTATTCAACCTCTCCTGGAATGTAAAAGAAAGATAACCACCGGCAAGCTTGTAAAATACGGTTTTCCAAAAAGAGCTCAAAACAGAAAATCAGCAATATCTGTTTCAGTCTAGATTCAAGGCAACAAACATATAAAACTTTATGTTCTTTCTGATGCAGTAATATAACACAAAATTAAAAAAAAAGGAAGAAGTAAAAGGATTATAAGAATGTCAAAAAAGATAAACAGACAGCGATATTCAAATTGTTTTTACCTGGTAGAGTGCATGACTTAGCTCTTGCCTGGCAGTATGAAGCTGCTGCTCCAATGCAAAATTGGATAGCATTAAAGCATCCCATTCCTGCAATGAGGGAAGTAATGGCATCAGAAGTGAACAACTAAAGAAAATTCAATGTAAACATTAAGAAATTTACCGGTAAGTAAAAAATTGCACCGATAACAAATCCACATAATCGGAAAACATATAATATAATGAAAGCATTCATTTCCAACTAAAGCGAAGAAAATACCCCATGTGAAATCAACGACAGAATTGCAAATAATTACAGAGGACAATCAAAAACCTCTCCCCACCAAGAACTCACATGGGTAACAAAAGGAAAGGATGCTTTCTAAACGTGAAGTATGCAATTATTTGAACAAATTTATATATGTGTGAGAGTATCTAAAAACATACATTCTGAAACATTCCAAGCATCCCAGGAATGCTAGCTGCTGTTAAAGATCTGGGCTTCACAATCTGCATCAGCCACCATGAAAACAAACAAATCAGCTCATAAAGATGCAGCAAAAGTATGTAAGGAAACCACCGATGGTAAAATCACCTTGCCGGTTTTGACTGGGACAATATCGTCCATAGTAAGTTCCTCCCCCGTAACCGGACACTTCCCATATTCCTAATAAAAACAGCAGCACATTCTATCAAAAGTGAAGCTGGTTCATCCAAAAATAGCTTAAATGTACAAAATTAGCTTCAATAGTTTTCCCTCCTTAAAAAATTACAATTTTCTAAGCATTATAATATGAACCCTAGAAACTCTTCTTTTTTGTTTTGCTAAAGGGATAAAAACAGACAAGACGAACCGAAATGTGTCGCTCGATTAAGCGTTTCTCGTAGAGCAAGCCGGATTTAGTCGAGACTACGGGCTCCTCCGGAACCTCGCCCGAAACTGCAAGGAACAACGTAAATCTCTCAGAACAAAAGCAGAAATGGAAATCCTACAGAGTTAAAGAAAATAAAACAAACAAAATGATTAGAAAGCTTACTTGAACAGTTCATGGTGAAATAGGAATTAGGGTTTTGATGACTGCAGAAATCAATGCTAGAAAAATTATTCAATGAGCAAGAAGGAAGCAGCAGCAGCAGCAGTATCAGCCGCAGCTAAAATGAGAGCGAGGGATAGTCGAAAACAAGAAATAATATGAAAAACAAATCTAAATTGGATCAAAATGAAAGTCTCAATGGTTTAGATTAGGGATTTTTTCATAAGCTTTTTATAGGCCCAAAATATTTTTATCCAGTTTAGTCCATTAACGATTTGGGTTCATCTCTTTACTGCCTCTGGGTAAGGTTTTCATTATTACTACGAGTTTGCCTGTGCTCTTTCATGGATTGAATTTTATAGACCCAAAACATTTTATCCATATACAACCTCATCCTCAGAAATATTTTTGGATCCGTCATTGGAGCTTGATGTTGATCTAAGTTCGAATGAAACACCCATATTAGATAAGTGAAAATATGGATCTGAAACTGGGCACAAAAGGCTTGTTTTGGTGTCGAGTTCGAATTCGACATGCTCTGATCGAGTTCGAACATGATAACGGTGATTGCTCAACAAGTGTGGACATTCTAATTCCAGCAGGTATCATGGCGGTCCATGAATCTGAAATGGTAACCTCCCTCGAGCCTCGTTGAAAGATGACGATCTAATCGACATTTAGATCGTGGTGGATGGGACTTGAGTTGTCCGCCGACGGTACTTGAAGCCAACTCAAGTAAAGTAGGAAGCTTATCTCCGACCGGAACATCTAAGTCAAACATACAAGTTATTCGAGTTATATTTAGTTCGATATGATTTTCAAATTTGTGTTGAAATGGACATGTGTAAGGTCATTAGGGCAAGAATGTTTACACTAGTTTTATTCAGGAAGCCCAATGTTGAGTCCAGGCTCAACTTAAAGATATGGAAGATCCACATCTTGAAGCCCATCATCATCTTCAACAATCACGTTAAAAAAACTTAATACACTTTTAGGTGTCTAAAATATACTTTAAATTGATTTTTTATATTTAAATTTTTTTGATAAAAATAATATATAATATTTTAAATATACAGTAAAAAATGATATTGTTAAATAATCTATGTCATATTTAGATTTTTTGAAAAATATTTTTAAATAATATTTTATTTAAAAAAAAAAAAAACACAAACATGATGATATGTGTCAACTATTGTCTAAAAGTGTAACAAAAAAAACATTAGATACCTATTTTTAACTTAAAAATTCTTTAAACACGAAAATTAATTTGAATTATTCTTTAAACACTTAAAATGAATTAAACATTAGAAAAGCCCTATATAAGGCTAAAAACCCTACCTTCCCTCATTGTTTTTGTTCAGCCGTCGAAAATGTCGAAGCGAGGTAAGCTCCCATCTCTCTCTTTCTCGGAATCAGTTACATGTTTCATTTTCCTTCTCGCTTTCCACTTGTTTCCCGGGAAAATAGAGGCAAAACAGATGGAAAAAAATCCTGCCTTTGATATTTTCTCGCATGATAATGCTCAAACCGAGATCGGGAAAACAAACCCAGAAAATTATCTTCTTATTTTTTCTTTTAATTTGGTTTGATTCATTAAATGGGATATTGTTTATTTTTCATAAGCTGTTTTTAGCTGAAAAGGTGGAATTTTTGTTTTTATTAGGACGTGGAGGGTCAGCTGGAAACAAGTTTAGGATGTCACTGGGTTTACCAGTGGCGGCCACGGTGAACTGTGCCGATAACACCGGTGCTAAAAACCTCTACATCATATCGGTGAAGGGAATCAAGGGCCGCCTTAACCGCTTGCCATCGGCTTGTGCCGGAGACATGGTGATGGCCACTGTCAAGAAAGGGAAGCCTGATCTGAGGAAGAAGGTCTTGCCTGCTGTCATTGTGAGGCAGCGCAAGCCTTGGCGCCGAAAGGATGGTGTTTACATGTACTTTGAAGGTGAATTATTATTGGTTTATAGTTTCATTGCATTCTAATGTGAATTGCAGTTAGGGATCTATTGGTTTATGGTGCTCGGTCTTGGTTACGAGTGTGAGTCTGATATTGTTGCTAGGTACAGAAATGAACTGTTCCGTATAGTTTAGGACTCGGGACTAGTAAATTGGTAGATGCTATTGATAAATGGTGTGTAGACTGTGCTGAAGATAGAGTTTTACCGATGTGGTTATGTGCATGTCACCGCTGTTTGATGATTCTCGAAATCAGCATAATTGAGTGGTGAGTTAGTTTTATAGTAAAATTGCTCATTGGGACTTGGGGACAGTATAATTATTCGACATCACTTGGGGTACTTTTTTTGTGATCTCTAAACTATTAAAAGACTTTTCTGTTGTTTTTTCTTGCCTTTTGGGCTTTGGTATGCTGGTGATGTGGTTTCGAGAACTTTTTGTTTAGTGTTTCTCTACACCTACCAGACATGGCTAAACTTATGTACTGTCCCCATCTGATATCAGGCGGTATATACATGTTTATCATCCCGGTCCAGGTTGGAACTCCAGATGTATTTTTCACTTGTATTTATCCCGATTCTCTCGTCATCTTTTAATGATAGATTTTAAACTAAAAGTAAATAACATTGTTTCACCAGAAAAAGTCATGTGTCCACTTCAATGCTCAATGGTTGATACAGTTACTAGTCTGGAAATTGAGTGTGTCCATCGTTGCCGATGCATTAAGCTTTCAACGCTTGCATATGCTCAATTTGGATCCTACATATTCTAAAATCTTAATGTTGTACGATGAAATTCTTGAGTCTTTAACATGGTCTTGACTATTAGCTAAAGCAATGTCAGCATCAGTTATGAGATGGTTGCAAATGCTCCATTGTTGTAAGACATGTTAGATCGACTCTCTTTGGGTATTTTGTCTGAACTTGGATGAGATTGTCGGATATAGATGTGTTTGAGAGGCTGATTTCTGATGTTTTACTGTTCTAAGTTTGTGTTCCAAATCTTGTTCTGGTTGCAGATAATGCCGGTGTCATTGTGAATCCGAAGGGAGAAATGAAAGGTTCTGCCATAACCGGTCCAATCGCGAAGGAGTGTGCCGACCTATGGCCAAGGATTGCAAGTGCAGCCAATGCCATTGTTTAGTGATTTCGTTTCCCTGAAACATAGTTTGCTGGATCTTTTATCTTTCCCATTTTGAACTTTTATCGATGTCACTCATGCTCGACATTTTTGGATTCGTGTTTGATGGTGTTTTGAGAACTGATGAACTTTGTTCGATTTAGCTCGCTTACCTATTAAAAAAACTCGCCTTTTTCGAATATGAGTTTTGTTTATAAGTTTCGATTTCTTGTCTGAAAATTATATAACAATACAAACTAGACTGAAGGATGTTCTTGACATCAAAACTACATAAAATCATGCAAGGAATCCAAGCCTTTCTCCATTCTTCTTTGCCAGACGAATCAGTCCTTGCCTTTGTTTGCCATCGGCCCCTATTGCTTTGCAGAATTCATTAATGACCTGAATTTTACGGAAAAAAGTATCAAATTTAGATATTAACCGAGTGCATATTTCATGGAATCATGGCATTATCAAACTGCAAACGGCACCTGAGAATGCAAGGCAATGGCTTTTCCCCTAAGCTGGTTGAACCTCTTCTTCCCGACAATCTGTCGGGTAACCACCACGAGCGGTGCGAACAACCCTTTCCCTTCGTTAACGTTCTTCATCACCGGCTGAGCTCGAACGGCCTTTCCGACACGAACGACACAGGGAACCGATTTAGCCAACGTGGGATAGTCTTCACCTCCGCTGAACGAACTTCCTAAACCTCCCTTAAACCCGATTACCGATGAAGCCGCCATTGAAGACATGTTCAAAGCTCCGGTATGAAACAATGGTTTTCTTCTTCTTTTCTTTGTTGTTTACGACTCGTGATTTGTAAAGCTCGATGGGTTTATTGTTTTTGGGTTGGTGTGAGTGGACTGGAGAGAGCCATGGAAGCATACACGTGCACGTGTTTACATGGTCCACGATTTTCCGGGAAAATTTCTATCTGGAAATCTAGTGGTTGTCGTTTGGGTGATGATGGGATTCATTGAATTCTTCATAGGACGATACTGACCGTCGAATTGATTAGATTTTTATGTATCACTGATTGGATAAATTGAGTAGACTATAAAAAATAAAAATAAATCATTATTACTAAAACTAAAATAATTTAATTCATATTCTTCTAAATTGAACTGAAATAATCTAATTGATAATCCATTTTACCTTTTAAAAGATTTATTTACAAAATAAAAATTATTTTTAAATTAATTTACATGAAATTAACTAAATAATCAGACTAAGTTATTTCATGTTTATGTATATAATTTCTTATTTAAATTAAATTAATTAAACATATACATGCATTTTACTATTAAAAAATGCTTATTCAATGTGATTCACTAATTAGGTTCGAGTAATTGTATTTGTAGAGTGTGTGTGCGTTGTCAATAGTTAATAAATATTTTGAATTGATACTAACTTGTAATTAAAAGGGTAAAGTACACAAATGGTCCCTCGATTATTAAAAGTTATAAAATGGTTCATGACTATATGATATTGTTTTTCGAGTCCCTCAACTATTAAAAGGTATAAAAGGATCACACGATCATTTATATATTTCAAACTCGTTATTTTCTGTTAAAAAATGGCGATCGTCTAAGTTGGACATTAACATATTGAGTAGGATATGGTATTCTTTTGAGATTTTGGGATCAAATTTTTATCATATCACAATCAACAAATTAACGTCAAACTCAAACTGCAATCATTTTTTAACAGAAAATTACGAGTTTGAAACATATGAATACTCGAATGATCATTTTATAATTTTAAATAGTCAATGGCTCAACAAAGCAATACAATAGTCAAAATACTATTTTGTAACTTTTAATAGTAAAAAACTCAACTAAACATCCCCATATAGTTGGAAGACTATTTGTGTACTTTACCCAAAAAATAATATTAGTTTTTATTTTATTTGAGTACCCGCTGTCAAGAACTTAAGGCATTTAGTACCTAAACTATCAGTATTGATATATTTTAGTACTTATTTTTTCAATTTTTTCGAAACTTAACGTTAAATTTTGAACGGATATTAAAATGAAAAAAAATTAAAGTGTTTATTGTGGGTACTAAAATGAAGCAAAACTAAACTTTAAGTATAATTTTGAAAATATTGAAAGTTTAGGTACTAAAATGCATCAAAATTGATAATCTAAGTACTAAACAAGTAGTTTATCGAATTATATATTAGAACATTAAGATGCTTATTAGAGGAGGACGTGATGAGAACGTTTGCTATCTTTAAGTGTAATTTAACAGCCTATCGTTCCACGTTTTCATTGCACGACAACCTTGTACAACCCATGCAACACCATTGCATGGCCGACAAAATCTCTCTTTTTTGTTCTGTTTTTAATCCCTTTCACTATAAAAAGAAAAACAAATCCCCTTGAAATACCCACTCAACTTTTTGTTTTTCATTGGTTGCTTGACTTCGCCCCCATCCTCAACCCCTCCCTCGTTTTGTCCGCCATGGACGAAGGTCCTCTCCATGGCGGCGCCAACACCAGCAAACCCGTCTTCGAACCACACGATGACAACAAAGATGACGACGTCGTTGTCGACCTCAAATGGCCTTTCGGTCATCTCGACGGCCTCGACTGCGACGACATCCGTGAAGCGGCCTACGAGATCTTCTTCACAGCCTGTCGTTCGCCGTCGTCGGGGTCCGGAGGTGGCCGGAACGCCTCGGCGTCGGCGTCGGCGTTGACGTCTACGTCGTGTTCGACGAATGATCACCATGGGAATGTCGATGGTAGGAATGAATCGTCGAACGGGCGGGTGTATGGGGTGGTGATGACCCCGACGAGTAAGGTTAAAACGGCTTTGGGTCTAAAGATGTTGAAAAAGTCACCTTCTAGGAGGATGTCATTGTTGTCGACGGGATTCCCCACCGGTAACGGCGGCGGCAGTGCAGGGATGTCGTCGTTTGTATCTCAAGGACATGGCGGTTCTCACATCGTTTCTAGCGTACCGCCGTCGTGGCCGCGGAGGCCTTTGACATCGGCGGAGATTATGAGGCAACAAATGAAGGTGACTGACCAAAGTGATAATAGGCTAAGGAAGATCCTCACGAGAACCCTTATTGGCCAAGTATGTCTCCCAATATCACTACCTACTAAAATTCAATTTCAAAAGTTAATTAAATTACACGTCCTTAATACACGGATTAAATCTTAAATCATAAACACGTGTGGACCTATATCTACGTACGTTTTGAAGTTTAGGGATAAATTTAGAATTGGAGTTATAGTTTGAGGGTGTTTGGTGAATTAACCCTTTAAATAACGCTTTGAATTTAAAAAGGGTTTATTACAAATTAAACCCTGAAATTTTCATATTCTTTGTCTTCAGTGGGGAAAGAGACCAGAGACTATAATCCTACCACTTGAGCTACTAAGGTATTTAAAACCATCGGAATTCATTGACGCACATGAGTACCATCTTTGGCAAAAACGTCAGCTCAAGATCCTAGAAGCAGGGCTCATCCAATATCCATTGGTCCCTATAGACACATCCAACTCCTACATGATCCGACTACGTGGCATAGTCCGATCCGGAGAATCGAAGCCTATTGACACCGGAAAGAACTCCGACAAGATGAGAATGTTATGCAACTGCGTCATTTCATTATGTTGGCGAAGTAACAACGGCTCCTACGACTTCTTGCCACTGGGCCGATGGGTACCCCTCAACGTACACATCTACACGGCTCTCCTAAGGTCGATTTTCAGTATTAGGGATGAAACGTTAGTGTTGGATGAGGTTGATGAGTTGTTGGAGCTGATGAAGAAGACATGGTCTACTTTGGGACTCAACAAGCCGATGCACAACGCTTGTTTCGCTTGGGTGCTACTCGAGCAATACATCGTGACAAACCAGACGGAGCCCGACCTTCTTCACGCGGCGTATATGATGTTGATGGAGGTGGAGAACGATGCCCAGAAGACGGATAATCGAGACGAGACATACGTGAAAATGTTGTCTTCGATGTTGGTTGCAATGCAAAATTGGGCGGAGAAGAAGTTGCTCAACTACCACGAACATTTCAATAGAGAAACTAATGGTGGAATCGAAAATCTTTTACCTATGGCCTTGTTGTCGACGAAGATTTTGGTCGAATGCATTTGGAACACGGAAGGGGATGAGAGCAAGACAGGGAACGTATCGGATTCGGACAAGACACGTGCTCGTCTCGAGCATTACATTCGATCTTCCATAAAGAAGGCTTTCGCAAAGGTGTGTAATTTACACACATATTGGACTATAGCAAAGATAAATTATCATCAAATTCTAATTTCTTGCCATTGTTGTTTGCTATAGATAATAGAAAATGTGAAAAATGCTGCCATGGGAGGCATAGGGGATACCTATGCAGAGCTTCTACAACTAGCGAAAGAAACCGAGGATTTGGCTGCGCGAGAACGGGAGTTATTTATTCCGATATTGAAGAAATGGCATACGACTGCAGCCGGTGTTGTAGCCGTGACAATACACCAATGCTATGGAGCAGTGTTGAAGCAGCATTTAGCGGGGTCGAGAATGCTGAACAGCGAGATCGTCGGGGTCATTGAACGAGCTTCGAAACTCGAAAAGGTCTTGGTTCAAATGGTGGTCGAAGATTTCGAAGAGTGTGCCAATGGAGGCAAAGTGATCATCAAGGAAATGATTCCATATGAAGTTGATACAGTCACATTAAGGCTTTTGGGACAATGGATAAATGAAAGACTAAACAAAGGGAGAAAGCTGGTTCATAATGCAAAGAAAACTGAAGTAAATCAATTGCTTCTCCTCGTCATTCCCTTTGAAATAATCTATGGTTAAGTTTACTAAGTGGTTGCATTTTATGTTACAGACATGGAGTCCGATTTCCAAATCCGAGCGGTATGCGAATTCGGCGATTGAGCTAATGAATTTGACTATGGAAACTGTGAATGAGTTCTTTCAAATTCCAGTTGGAATTACAGAGGATTTGATTCTTGATCTAGCCGAAGGACTAGAGCAGGTCATTCAAGAATATGTAACCTTCCTGGCAGCATGTGGTGAGTGCCATGTTTACGTTGGGTTATCGTCTCTCGGGAAATCAACGACGTATAAGTTCAGTCGGATTCTCATCGTTTCGTATCTTTCTTTCCCAGGTTCGAAGCAGAATTATCTTCCTACACTTCCTCCATTAACCAGATGCAACAAACATTCAATGTTGTCCAGGCTTTGGAAAAGGGCTAGTCCCTGCGGTGTTAGAGACGAGGAGATGCACCAAGCTACGGCAATGCATCACCAACATCCTACCCCATCGACGAGCCTCGGAACGCAATGCCTCTACATCCGCCTTAATACGTTGCACTATCTAATCTCCCACATTCATGCCCTCGATAAAACTCTCGCCCTTTCGCCAAGAGTCTTAACACGAAACCACAAGCAGCAGCAACACGCTACTCCGTTTTCCTACTTCGAACGTGCCAAAGGATCCATTCAAGCCGCTTGTGATCACGTGTCGGAAACCGCCGCTTACCGCCTCATCTTCCTCGATACAAACCTAGTATTTTACGAGTCTCTTTACGTCGGCGATGTGGCCAGCTCGAGAATCCGACCCGTGACAAGAATTCTAAAGCAGAACCTCATGCTCCTCACCACAATCCTCACAAACCAAGCTCAAGCATTGGCAATAAAAGAAGTCACGAAAGCAACGTTTGAAGCGTTCCTCATTGTGTTACTCGCAGGAGTGCCATCGAGGAACTTCCATCGGTCCGATTACGAGATGATCGAGGAAGATTTCCGGAGCCTGAAAAGGGTGTTCTCTACCTTCGGAGAAGGATCATTATCTGAAAACGTCGTCCAACAGGAAGCAGAGAAAGTCCAAGGGGTGGTATCGTTGTTGGGACAAACCACAGAACAATTAATAGAAGATCTCAGCATTGTCTTATGCGGCACAAATGGCATAGGCCAAAAGCTACCGATGCCACCGAAGATGGGAAGCTGGAACCGATCCGATCCGATCACGATTCTAAGAGTGTTGTGCCATCGAAATGACCGAATGGCGAACCATTTCTTGAAGAAGACGTTTCAAATGGCGAAAAGAAGCTTGTGAAGCAAGCAAAGGAAGAACATACTATATACAAAACTGGAAATTTGAAAGAACAGGTTTTTGTTGATAATATTGGTTTGTTTGTTTTCATTGAATTGATTTCTGTATTCGTATTTGTGTTGAAGATGATGCTGGAGTTGCAGGCAGGGGATGGGATTGTGGTTTACGTGAGCAAATGTACCATGATGATATGAAAGTTATTTTAAGTGGACTGATTTGTTAAATTCTTAAATTATAGCTTTGTTTGATTTTTTAAGCTAAAATTATTGTTTGGTCCTTTGTTGCGCTTAAATTTGGAATTTAATCCTTATATTTTAATACTTTTTAGGGTAAACTAGCATTTAGTACCTAAACTATCAGTTTTAGTCCATTTTAGTACCTAAACTTTCAATTTTTTCAAAATCATACCTAATGTTTAATTTTGTTTAATTTTAATACTCTATCGTTAAAAATTTCATGCATTTAGTATTTAAACTATCAATTTTAGTCCGTTTTAGTACCTAAACTTTATTTTTTTTAAAACTTAACATTATATTTTGAATGGGTACTAAAATGAAACAAAAATGAAACTTTATGTATGTTTTTGAACAAATTGAAAATTTTACTAAAATATATCAAAATTGATAGTTTAGGTATTAAACACGTAATTTACCCTAATTTTTAAGGTAAGCTATATATCATATACCACTAAACTGCGACTTTTGTATATAAATGCCACTGAACTATAAATTGATACGATTATGTAACTTCAAGAAAATCATCACGAATGATCATTAGTTTTTCAAACTGTTACAAATAATTACTTCGAAATTGAAAAACGGTCCTTAAAGTTTTCAAATTTGTAACATCATGGTGATTATTTTGTATCTGTTCAGAAAGTTCAATGACTATTCTGTAACTTAAAAAGTTTCGGTGACCATAATGATAATTTTAACAAAGTTAAAAGATCATGCAACCTGTTTCATCTTGAACTTCCACTGCCAAAAGCCACCGAACACAAAATGAAGAGGAAAAAAAAGAAACAATGGAAGGCAGCCAAAGCAAAGCCATAATCAGCAGCCGCCTGCAAATCATAAAGCAAAAATCAGGAAAAAGCTACAATCAAATAGCAGAAGAAACCGGCTTAACCAACGTCTACGTGGCTCAGCTCCTCAAACGCCAGGCTCAGCTCAAGCCGGAAACGGCGGATAAGCTAAGGGCAGCCTTGCAGGAGGAGCTTCTTCATGAGATCATGAAACCACCCTTGCGGTCATATGATCCTAACCTTATCCAGGAACCCACTGTTTACAGGTCCGTCGTCTTACGTAATTCATGTTTGATTATCGATGAAGATTAGTTTTTTTGTTCTTGCAGGTTGAATGAGGCGGTGATGCATTTTGGTGAGAGCATAGAGGAGATTATTAATGAAGAATTTGGCGATGGGATGTAAGTTTTTTCAGTGGTTTATAGTTTGGGTATTTTTTGTTGCCATTCATGATTCGTTTATTGTTTGGGAGTAGAAAATAAATAGTTAGCATCTGGAACTTAATTGGAATCCAGAAATGAAAACTGGGTGTTTGAATTGTAATTTACATTATTCATTTCTATGTTATCCGAATTCGGGTTCGGGTGTCGGATGTGTATGTATCCACAGGGGCGTATTGGGGTTTGGGTGTCGGATGTGTATGTATCCAACAGGGGTGTATTCGGGTTCGAGTATCAGATGTGTATGTATCCAACAGGGGCGCTTTCGAGTTCGAGTGTCGGATGTGTATTCGGGTTTGAGTGTGGATGTGTATGTATCCGGCAGGGGTTTATTCGGATTCAAGTGTTGGATGTGTATGTATCCGACAGGGGAGTATTCGTGTTCGAATGTCAGATATGGATGTATCCGACACAGGCGTATTCAATATTTGTAAGTTCTTTTATGTATTTGGGAGCTTCTTGGAGTATCATATCCTCATCATGTCCAGATAAGCCTAAAACATGGGTTTAAAAAATTGGTACTTTAGGAGAAAATGGTGAGTCAATTTTTCATATGTCCATTCATTGATTCATCCTTGTGTTTTCTTTAGCATGTCTGCTATAGACTTCTACTGCTCCGTTGACAAAGTTAAAGGCGTGGACGGGAAAGACCGTGTTGTCATCACGCTCGATTGGAAGTACTTACCATACTCCGAGCAGGTTTGTCCCCTTCCTTTTTCATTAATTCATGAATAAAACTTACTGAACTCCTGAATCCCAATTGTTTCTTGTTGATATGGAATACTCGTTCTTTGGTTATTGAAGGGTCTTGAGACAACAGCTAGCGTTGATTGTGGATATAGGATTCTACTTTGGATTTTATAGTTTATCCTGAATGATTCCCAAGTTCGAATACAATCTGGAAAAGTTTTTGATTAAAGTTCGATAGTTTGTACCCTTTAACATTGTAATCCAATGGAGACAGTTTACAGATCTTCTAGTTTATGTTGTTTAATCAATCCGTTTCCGAGTTCACTTCGAAAATTTCCTTAAGAAAGCCATAGTTACTACTGTTTAACCATCCTAGAACAATGGAAACTTGTGTCCTAATAGGTAAAAAACTTGCACTACCCGCTGGCATAGGGATTAACCCTCCATGACTCGGACTCGAATGTGGACTGTTGGACAGCCTTGAAGGTCATATCTCCTTATTCATGTTTGAAAACTTGCCAGATACTGTTTTTTTTTTTCCCGAGAAAAAACAAGTCGGATCAACGTAGATGAAACTACATTGGATCTAAGCTTGTTCCATTCTTGGTGGAAATTTTGCAGGGATTCTTCCTTTCAAAATTTGAACTAACAAACACTCACTCACAATTCCTTTCTAATGACAGAAACCTGAGCATATGGTTTCAAGATTAAAGCAGCAGCAACGAAGCTGATGAACAGTTTGATGATGCTGTGATGTGCAACTTGGAGCTTCTTGTTGAAGGGAAAGCCTATGAAGCTTTGTATGTGTTTTCGTATTTTACGTTATTCGAACTATTTTTAAACCATGTCCGACGCATATTACGGCATGTATTCGACATCGATCTCGAAGTCCGAATAAAAATTATTGTTATGGGTGGTATTGAATCCCCCATTTTAATCACAACATATAGCAAAAAGGTTTTGCATGATACATCAGACATGATTAAAATGGTAATAATAGAAATAAATGTAACTTAGAGTACGTATAGTATTTTGGTGTGTTCCGTAAACTTTTTATTAATTTAATCATTCAGAAATGTATTCTCATTTTGGATTGGTAGAGGCAATTTCATCTAGGGCTGTAAATGAGACGAGACGGATCGCGAGTTACTCGAGACTCGCGATCGACTCGATCAAGGCTTGATAAATACTCGGATCGAATGGACTCGACTCGAACTCGAGCTCGACTCGAGTTCTTAACGAGCCGAAACGACCTACTCGATATTCGACTCGAAAAACTCGTGAGCAGCTCGAAAAAATGTTATATTATAATTTTAGATTTTTTAAAATTACATTATAAAAAATTTATTAAAAATACATTATTGATAATTATAAAATTTTAAAAAATATATTAAAAATTCTATAATACAACTACCCTCAATTTTTAATTTTTTTAATTAAGCAACTCAAGTCCAATTGTTACATTGTATATTACTAAAAGAAAAATAAAAGCTCATTTAATTAAGCACATGTTAGATTACATTCTAAACCCTAAACCTAACCCTAAACCCTAAACTATTTAATTATAAATTATAAACCCTAATCCCTAAATCCAAACCATAAACCCTTAATCCAATTATATGATAGGATACTAAAAGAAAAATAAAAGTCCATTTAATTAAGCACATGTTAGATTACATCCTAAACCCGATTATATGATAGGGGTTACATGTAACATACAAATTATGCAAAATGAAATTAATGAAATTAACAAGGGTTTATATGTAAATAAACTAATAAATCACACTTGGTCAAATCAATCAATAGGTCCATTATCAAAACAAACGATGATCAAAACATAAAATAAAAATAAATTAACAACCCAAATCATAAAAACTTAAACCTTGATTAATGACGAAATCAGAAGATTACAAATATAACAGGTCCTAAAATGCTAATACTCCTTTTGTAAAACACGGGCTTGAATACCTGTCCACTGTCCACGTTTCTTTGGTTTTCTTTTTCTCTTCAACTCTCTGTTTTGTGTATTCTCAAGCTTTCTGCAACAAACATGGGGGCTCTCGAGTCTCGATTATATTTCAAACTTTTGCATTGTCTCCGAAAGGAGTAAACGCAAGCCAATATGCAGGTACCTTTCTTCTTCTTTGAATCAACAATTCAAGAAATCACCTGCAAAACTCCATTTCCTAGCTATGCCAATGATATTGCCGTTGCAAGGTGAAAAGGCCTCGATGAAGATGGAAGCAAGCCAATACAAGAGAATGGAAGAAGAAAAGATAAGCCATACAGAGGAATCTCTTGCGATTTTCGAAGAGCTGATGTATCGGAAAGAAATGGAAATTTTTTCTCTTGAGTTCCAAATTGAGGCTTATAAGTACAAACTTCTAAGTTTGGGGTGTGGTGAATTGGATGACATTGAGAAAATTTTCCGGAGAATCGATTTGCAGAACGAAATGATGCAACACAAGGAGAAAGAGAGATTTATTCCACTATTAGAAGACTCAGCTCCCTGCCGTCATTTCTACCGACGGATTTCTCTAAAGTAAAGAGTACTAGCGATGGAGAAAAGCATGCAAATCCAATGCTAGAATCGAGTTCAAGCATAGATGCAGAAATCTTGACTCAGTAGTCCGCGATCATGGCTTTGATTCAAGGAGAAGTTCACCACGCTCACCGGATTCAATTCTTACTGGGAACATATCAGAATTCTAAATGAGAAGGTGAAAGAGATTTCAGATTGTAAAGAAGTTAGTACAAAGAAGTTACCCAAAATAAAGGTAAAACCGGAGTCCCAATGTACCAGTCCAAGAGCAAAACTTCCCCCTAAATGTCAAAAACTGAAAACTTCTGAAGATCCATCAGAGAAAGTCACTCCAAGTTCTGCCAATTCTGCTAAATCTGTTCATGATGTATTCATAGTACATTGCAAATTCAAAGTTCTAGAAAGCAGTGAAAGAAAAAAAAGTAATGAGCAAAAGAATGAAGGGAAGTTATATGTTGAAGAAGATAATAGGCTTAAGAAGCCAGATATTTCATGATTGGATCACCTCTAGATGATGATAGCGATTGGTCTGTCAAGGATGACTTTCAAAGTGTAAAGCCAGGGAAAGAAGGATATAAACTAAGAGATGAGATGAATCCCGACTACGAATCGTCTGCTGAATATGATACTGAATGGATAAAGATGAGTAACTTGCTAAGTTCAAACAAGGGGAAAAGATCATGTAAACTGGGTGATGAGCCGAGTGATGACTACAAATCAGCTGCTAAATATGATACCGAACAGGGTGTTGAAGAGGGTGAAGAGCATGTGGCCTTATATCCCACATCTTTAAGATAGAAGCAAGTGCTCCACAAGTGATTCTATAAATTAAAGCCCAAACTCAATGGTTTAATATTTGGAGCCGCGTGGTTAGCAATTGAGCTTAAATTGAGCTTGAATTGAGCTCAAAATCGAGCTTGAATTGAGCTCAAAATCGAGCTTGAGATTTGAGCTTCATTGAGCTTGAGATTTGAGTTCGAGTGAGTTTTAATATTATTTGAGTTTTTGAAAATTTTTTTTGAGTTGAGTCGAGTTGAATAGATTTATAGTTTTGAGTGAGTCCTCCAATTCCACCACCATCCATGCTCTATATCCACCACCGGCACCCCCTCCAAATCCATCACCGACACCACCTTCAGCACTCCCTCCACCTCCTCCAAATATGCCTCCACCTCCACCACCAGCACCACGTCCAACACCACCACCTTTTCCAATCTCACCTTCAATGCCACCACCTTTACCAAAGCCATCATCGCCAATGCCACCACCTAACCCACCTCCTTTTCCTATGGCACCACCAAGGCCTCTTCCTCTCCCGATGCCACCGCCATGTCCACCACCAAGACAGCCACCCTTTCTGATTCCTCCACCCTTGCCAATTCCACCACTAAGTCCCTCACCCTTTCCATGTCCACCACCTTTTCTTATACCACCACCAATGCCACCACCAAGTCCATCTTTTCCAACTCCACCATCAAACCCTCCAGCAGTTCCACCGCCGCCTCCAAGCCCTCCACCACCACCATCCAATACATCCACTTCCACCAATACCACCCCCACCTCCTGCACCAAACTCACCTCCCAAATTAGTCCTGAAATAGAAAAATTATGTCATGAACTATTTTCTTTACTATAGTCATATCAATTCTAATCATGAATATGAGACGAGAAAAATTTATGATGTTTTTTTTTATTGAGTGTATTTATAATAATACGATTCAAAATTGAATTGAAAATATATTTTTATTTCTAAGTACTATATATGATAGGATAGAATTGGTATTATGAGTAAATTCGAAATAAATTTAATTTTATATTAGTAGTCGATTAATATGAACATGCCAAAGTACACATTGATATATATAGCTGTTGAAAGGGCTATGCATTGTTAAAAGGGCCATGCTTCAATGTCGGGAGTCTTCGACCTCGGCGTCGGTGTTGGACTTGGGTTTTCACCGTCGCACATGTGGCAGTGCAGTTGAGGGTTCTCACCATTTTAATGAAACAGATTGGATCCAACTCCCACACTATATATATATATATATATATAATCACTGATATCCGATATATTGATCAATTAATCTAGATCGGGAATTACATAGGCAGGAGCGACATTCCCAACCCAATTTACTTCATTCGCAATTGTTAGGATTCGAACCCTGACCTTGCTTAAGGGATCCAGTGTCTTATTCCACTAAACAAACTGGTTGTTGGTCTCCTACTATATTAATTAGAGGGTAAACTACACATTTACTATCTAAACAATCAATTTTGGTCCGTTTCAGTATCTAAACTTTCAACCTTTTCAAAACCATACATAACGTTTAGTTTTCATTTCATTTTAGTATCCCACCATTAAAAACTTAACTCGTTTAGTATATAAATTATTAGTTTTGGTCCGTTTTAATACATAAACTTTTAATTTTTTCAAAACGTAACGTTAGATTTTGAACGATGTATTAAAATGAAACAAAAACTAAAGTTGTAACGGTGAGATACTAAAATGAAATTAAAATGAAACTTAGGTATGATTTTGAATTTTTTTTTGAAAGTTTAGGTGCTAAAATGGATAAAAACTAATAGTTTAGATACTAAATACATAATTTACCCTTTATTATATTACAATTAGACAAATAAATTCAATTTAACTTCAAAAATAATTTTTTAATTTAATTTATTTAAATTAAGTTATTTGAATCAATTGAATATTAAAATCATATTATTTTCATCTTTAATTAAACAATTTAATTATTTTATAATTTTGTGTGATTATTTGTTTCTTCAATTCTTCTTCCGTTTTAAATATTCTTTTATAAATTTGAACTAGGGATAGCAAAAAAACTCAAATCCGTCGGGAAAATCGAAAATCGAATTAAACGAATCAGGTTCGGGGATGATAAACGGGGACAGAGACGGGGACGGGTTTGATAATCCCTGACCCGATAAATATTAAAAATAATTATTATATATATATAATATTAATAAATTTAATTTAAATTAAAAATATATATATAATATTTATATATAATTTAAATATATATACCCAACCCGATACCCGTTTAAATAACTGTTTATGCTAAACGGAGATACCCGTTTCTCCGCGGTTTTCCCCGATTACCTGATGGGGATCCCCGTTTAAATCCCCGTGATTTTTTAAGCGGAGACGGGTACGAATTTTTTAAACGGGGACATGAGACCAATCCCCGGCCTGAAACCACCCTGTTACCATCCCTAATTTGAACCACATTCTTATAAACTATGTATAATACCTTCGTAACTTTAATTTCTCCTTTTAGCAACAAATTTCTTAATTTCTTAATTTAATCTTCCAACTTTAGACTTTATTCAATTTAGTCATTTGAGTGTAATTCTTTGTAATTTTTTCTTAACATCAATTCATGAACTCTTTTATACTCCCGTAATAGATTTTTCTTACAATCTCTTCTTAAAAAATTAATATTATAAATATATTATATAATTTTAGACGATATTTAATTTATTAACAATATTATAAATTTATTTATATCGTATATGGTTCGATAGAGTCATTTAAATTAGAAAATCAATATCATATTAATTAAAATTAAATTTGAACAAAAACTCGAATAAATATAAAAGTAAATAATTGCATTGTTCAAATAATATAAACATGAAAATCAAACTGAAGAAGTATTGTGCATTTCACCTTGTGTATGCAGAAAATCCTAGTTGTGAGATTCATCTATCAAAATCAGGTGTATGATCCAAGTCGGTTTAAATCAGTCGAGACGAAACCCTAGAACCGAAAGGGAAAAAAAAGGAAAGACAAATTCTTCAAGTTTCCAATTTGATCATGGGTTGGACCAGTAAAAAATTGATTGAATGTACAAATAGTATGTTAGGAGATTGAGTGAGATAACAACAAGAAATCACAAGTTAAGAATACATATATTCTTGTTTTTTATTTTTAAATAAAATTTTTTAGATAGATTAAATAGATTCAAATCACAATCTTAAACGCTATCTTTTTATATATTATTTAATGGATAAACTATACGTTTAGTACTTAAACTATTATTTTTGTTCCATTTTAGTACCTAAATCATACCTAACATTTAGTCTAGGTTTCATTTTAGTACCTCGCATTAAGAACTTAACGAAATTATTGTATGTGACAATTTTATGATTAAATTACATCATTCATCATTCAACTATCTTCTCACTCCTATTTCGGTCACTAAAGTTTCAAAATTTTCACGCATTCTTATATTAGTTTGAAATTAGTTGAAAAAATAAAAAACAATTTGTTAGAAACCATCAATAGTGATATGATAATTGTAAATACGTTGGGTCATAGTGCTAGAATAACACGGATTCGTAGAAATTGCCCGATAAAGATTCAAGGGGTTGTATTCCTGGTGAATCTTTTGGAGTTATCGTTTGATGAATTTGAGATTATATTGGGCATAGATTGGTTATCTTGGCATTATGGTTGGGTAGATTGTCGCATGAAGCGACTATTTATAAAGGATGTAGAGGGCGCCGAGATAATAGTAATTGGAGAAAAGCGAGATCTTTGCCCAATATGATATCAGCAGTGACGTCAACGAAAATGATGGAAAAAGGTTGTACAACTTTCTTAGCAAATATGATTGATACCCGAACATCTGAAATTCGATTGGAGGATATTCTGACAGTTCGAGAATTTCCAGATGTATTTCCTGATGATTCTTTCAGGTTTCTGATAAAGTTAAGCATAAGATATCTGGTTTGAACATTCTGAAAATTCAATCTGTTTTATTTTTAATGATTTTATATATTTCAATATTTTATTTATTTGTTCTCACCTTTAGTATTAATGCCTCACTAAGTTATACTTAGCGTTAGGGCTGTAAATGATATGAGACAGATCGCGAGCTACTCAAGATCGACTCAATCAAGGCTCGATAAATACTCGGATCGAATGGACTCAACTCGAGTTTGAGCTCAACTCGAGTTCTTAATGAGCCGAAACGAGCTACTTGATATTCGACTCAAAAAGCTCGTGAGCAGCTCTGTAACACCCCCAACCCGTACCCGACCCGGATACGAATCCGAAGCGTTACATTGACTTATCAAAACAATTTCTTTTGAGAGATGTATAAAAAATTAAACTCTAACTTGTATTTTAGTGGTGAAACCCTTATAATAAAATGTGTATTAAAATGAAAGATGAAAATAAACATTCATTAATTTACATAGATACAAAAAGTGTTTGGAATACAAACTGGTCAGAGCATTTCAATTTAAACTTGTAGTACATGCCAACAATTTACAAAATAGCAAGAAACCTACATTTAAATTGTGTTGATCTGATCTTTGCGGGGGTATGCTATCCTCGCCTAGCTTAGCTCTTTGCTTTCTTCGAACCTACGTGTGAAACAATCACATGCTAAGTCGTTGACTTAGTGAGGCAAATACGAGTCAAATAAGGCATTATATAAAAATTTCTTATTCACTTCATAGAACACATTTCATAAGGGATTCAAATAACTTTTCATAACAAAAATGTATACTTTTATACTTTGTCCGGGTTATGTAACTTTAATTTCAAATGTCCAATGTCTATTACTGAGAACTCTAGGTATTTGAGTATCGAAGTGCCTCATATTTGTCCCGAATGACCACATAGTTTTGTCCCGAATGACCACATAGAACCCTCGACTCTTGGCATGCCAACTATACCTCTAATCCTCATACATATACCTTGGGCTTTTAATCACATAATTATTCATCCTTTTGTTATTCAAAGTATATCTTGTTCACATAGGTACTTCCATATCGAGTTATTTCGTATACATAGATTCATATGTCAAATTTTCATAATTATGTACACATAAATATCAAAACATAGCTTAAGTAATATAACTTGAATAAAATATTGTAAAATATAACATAAAAGAAACAAAAAGATTTTCGATCGAAAACTCTGAGGTTGGCTTATCGCAAGTCGCTCTCGAATCTAGTATAAAACAATTGAGTTGCACTCACCTTTGCCTCACGTAAGTTCTAGAAAAATCCTTATCAATCTTGATCGATAACTTATAACGTAGAATCACCCGGACTTTGCCTTCGTTCAATGTCTACACAATAATACAATCGAGATGAATATCGAGTTTTCATATTGCTATAACCGATCATTAATAGCTTAAGCTGAAAAAAACACCAAATTCACCATTTCAGGCACAAATATAGTATCATTACCCCTCCTACAGTACCAATACTTCCCTTCTATGGTATCGATACCCACTTCGGTATCGATACCATTTTGACATTATGGAATTTCAAACTTGATAATGGCATCGATACCCTACCCTTGGTATCGATACCCAAATTTCAATATCGATATATTCTTCAATCAGTACTGATATTGATCCTCGAATTCAAACTAATTTTGCCTTGAAGTATCGATACTGTTCTTCCAGTACCGATACCCTTACCCTGAATTTACTATTTTCATTTCGAAAATTAACCATAACTCACCCAAATCTCCCACTTTCATCTCCATTCATGCCTTTGAACTCAACTACTCTTACCAAAACCAAATTATATCGCTTTAACACTACTAACCATCCAAAAATCCCACTAAAACACTTGAGACTAAAATTATACCATAATTTAAAACATGTTCTTAATCATTTCTAATTCTTCTGACTCCTTAATTAGACTCTTGACAAGTCAAATTTATCAATAGAAATCCAAAAACTAAACCATATCAACATATCCTTAAAAAACCCATTTTACAAATTTATCTATAATTCATCCATCTCTTAGTTTTACTCAACCATAAAGTTTCCTTAAGCTTATATAACACTCAAAGAACAAGAACTAACTTAAAATTCAAGGAACAAACAACTTGAAATCAATTCACCTTAAAATGAAGCTCACAACAACGAGGAATAAGATAACAATGGTTCCAAACTTCTCTATTTTCCTTTCCCCCATTAATCCACGTGTTTTATATCCCTTAAAAAGGGAAGACAAAAATCATTCCTTGGAAAAGACCATAATGTCTTTGCAATAATCCAACTTTGATATCAAGTCCTAAACAAAATTTCTAAATTAAATCCTTGAATGTTTCAAGTTATTTCAATTAAACCACTAAGTTTTGAATTCTTACATTTTGGTCACTGACCCGATATTTGGAGTGTCACAAGCTCGAAAATATAATATATTAAGATTTTATTTTTTAAAATAAATTAGTAATAATATTAATATTTATGTATTGATTTTTTTAAAATACAGTAATATTTTCATGTATTTAAGGTTCAGGTTCGAGTTTGAGTTTGAAGCTTCAATCGAGTTAAGTTTAAGATTTTTTTTTTCATTTCGAGCATTTTCAAGCTGCTCACGAGCTTCAGTTCAGGATTTCGAGTTCGAGTCGAGCTTGAAAATTTTAAGCTCGCGAGTTTTCGAGTCGAGTTGAGCTCAACAAAACTCGAGCTTGACTCGACTAGGCTCGTTTACACCCCTACTTAGCGCATGATGATTTTCATGCGTATGTTCTGATTAAGATTTGGACGTTTTGTGAGGAGCCTCCCAAGCATCGTGTGTAGATCATCTGTATTATCAGTATCAGTAAGACATCACCAATGTTTCTTTTGACTAATAGTGGCATGTATATTTATGTTGTTAACTTGTTTTATCAGTTATAACTAAATGGTCTGTAATAGTAAATTAGAAATATTAAAAAAAAATAAAATTTTAAGCAACTGTGAATAGTGATCATTAGTCAGTTTGATGTGACATCTATGGCTCGCATTCTTAGATGTTTAAAGGTTATGGGTGTTACATAAACTATTATTTTTGTTCCATTTTATTACCTAAATCATACCTAACATTTAGTCTAGGTTTCATTTTAGTACCTCGCATTAAAAACTTAACGGAAATATTGTATGTGACATTTTTATGAGTAAATTACATCATTCATCACTCAACATAATTCATCATTCAATTTAACTACTCAATTTTTAAATTACTTATATTTTAATCATTATAATTTATTTTATTAATAATTTTTTGTGACATGACATGACATTTATTATTATTATTTTTAATGTATAAGTAAAATAAAAAATTAAATTTGAAAGTTGGAGTGATTAAATTATGAGTAATTTAAAAGTTAAGTAATTAAATTAAAAATATTTTAAACTTCAGTGACCAAAATAGGAACGAGAAGATAATTGAATGATGAATGATGTAATTTACCCATAATAGTGTCAATACAACAATACCATTAAGTTTTTAACCGCGAGTTACCAAACGAAACAAAAAGTAAATGTTTAGTATGATTTAAAAAAAATAGATATCAAAACGGAACAAAAATAATAGTTTAGATATTAAACGTGTAGTTTAACCTTATTTAATATATTGATCATATATAAAAGGCTTATATCACAAATAAGTACTTAAAGTATACTCTATTTTTCATTTAAGTACCTAAAGTATTTTTTGGTCAAAATAAATATCTAAAGTTATATTTTTAGTCAAAATAGGTGCCTAAAGTATATTACGTCAAGATAGATACCTAAACTATTCAAACCTTTTCATCTAAGTTCTAAAAAGGTTTACATGTGGCATTAATTAAATAATACTTTAGGTACTTGGATGAGAAAAATAGAATACTTTATATGCCTATTTTGACAAAAAAAATATAACTTTGAGTATTTATTTTGGCTAAAAATACTGTAAATACTTAAATAAAAAATATGATATACTTTAGGTACTTATTTGTTATATAAGCCTATATCAAATTCTGACATCCAATGGATGAATAAATAACCCAAAAGGGCAAAGAGCGTAGAAATTCCACAAAGAATTTCTTTTGGTGCAAAATTTCCACATTAATTAATACTATTAGTATCAATTTAATTACTTGACATAACTAATGCATGTATTTCATTATCCACCGCCTTACTATGTTGATCAAAATTTATAAATTTTACGGTTAAGGGTTACTTTTGTCTCTGTAGTAGATTCAATTTATCATTTTCGTCCTTATCGTATTTTTGTATTAATTTAGTCCTTAAAATTATTTAATTGCATCATTCTATATTCTACCTATAACTCAAAACCCTAAATTATAAATCCTAAGATTTAAGATTATTTTATAACTTTTAATAGTCGAGGGGCTCAACAAAGTAACATTTATAATTAAAAGACTATTTTATAATTTTTAATAATTGAAAGATATAATAAAGCATTATTTTATAGTCGAATAACTATTTATGTACTTTATCCTAAATTAATACCCATACACTTGATTAACCCCAAGTTAAGTAACCCCATTGTGGAAAAAATGAAATCAAGGGGCAGAATAGTAACTTCATCGACCTAATTTGAAATTTCATTAGAAGACATGAAAAGGGGAAAGAAAACTACGTTAAACCGACAAAGGAAATTTCTGTCATTTTGTAAACAACTAATGGCATTTCCGTCATTTCGAAAAAGCCAAATGTTAGTTTAAGAAAACCCAATCAGATATTGTTCTTATTTCGATTTACTAATTTGCTTTTCTCTTGTTTTCCCCTTTCCTTTCATCCACCCTGTTTTCGCTGCATTTTTTTTTATCACTTTGACCTTCGTAACTCCACCGTCCGCCGGCGGATTCGCCGCTTTTCATCCGTCCGTACACTCCGATTAAGAAAAAACTCTCTGGGATCCTTGGCGCCCCTTATTTTCATATCCAAAATCTGTCCCTTTTTTCAATTTCTGGTTTTATTGATTATCTATTTTTAGTTAAAATTATGGGTTTTGTTTAAAAATGTATGTTTTCCTGATTTTTTAGTTTTCTTTTCCGCTTTTCTTTTTAAGTGGGCATTTTGGTCTTTTATGACTACTCTTGGGGTATTGAGTCATTTCACGTATTTTGTAGGTTTTATCTCATTGATAAAAACGATTTTACAGTTCTACCCAAAGTTGGAAGTAGAATAAAAAATAAATTTCCGATTTGACGTTTTAACCCCTTACTTAACGATGATTTAACGGGATTAACCCTCTTCCTTACGTGGCCTGAAAATGAGTCATCACCAGCGTAGAATTTCGACACCTGGAATCTCGAGGAAGCGAAAAGAGAGAGAACCCTTTTATTCATTTAAACCGTCTATTCCGGTTCAATCATCGGTTTATTCCGGTCCAAAGCTCCCCTCCTCTCCCGATTGTTCAAACCAGCTTTTAGCTGGCTACATGGCACATGAGTTTTTGACCAAGGGAACCCTTTTGGGTCAGCAATTCGACCCGGCTCGATCGGAGGCTGTCCGGTGCCTGGACCGAGAGAACCCGTCCAGCAGGAAGCCAGACCGAAGGATCTTAAGAAAGAGAGCCGAAGTTATGCTGACGTGGCGAGAATTCTGAAGGACGATGGGACTCACATCACTGGAATCGTTAACCCTACTCAGCTGACAAGGTGGATCAAGATGTGAGCTTTGGATGGTGACGTGGAGATACGTGATTGGCTGAAAGAACCACATCAGCTGTGTCCTCGTGCGTTTGATTATCCCTCAAGTGAGGGTTTTTTTGCATGTTAATTTGTGGGTAAATTGCGCTTTTCATCCCTCAACTTTGGCTTTATATTTCTCTATGTTTTGAAAGATTTTGCATGAACTTAGAATTTATGTGTAGCTGATATAAAAGCTTTGCCATTGGCAGGCCCGACCCAATACATGTGTCAGATAGCCCAGGACATGGTTGAGGGACATCAGTTTTCAGCTTCTATTGACGATTCTAAAGTTTTGAAGAGAGGTTTGTCTGGTTATGAGAATCCAACTAAACCTCCACATGTGGCATCAACTGAGATCAAGCAGAATAGTGGGCCTCATATTAGACCTGTGAATACGTCAAAGAACGTGAATGTTGCTAGTGGGGTTGTGATGCACAGCACTGGTTCAGATTCCACCGAAAATAGTGAAGATCAAAGTAGCAAGTCTTCTACCACAGCCAGTATGCCACAAGTCCTGCCTACAGTTCTGGGGTATGTGCACAGGAGAAACCATATGAAGAATTTTAGCGGGAAGAATGTGTGTAATTCAAGTCCAAGAGTTCAACAGGGAAAGAATTTTGTTGAAATCAGTAAGAAGCCAAGAGCTGAAAGTGTCAAAATCAAGAAGGAAGGCTCTCCATCCAGCGTTTGATCTGACTCAAGAAGCTCCAACTTTGACTCTATGCCAAGTACATTTGCAGTGACAAGTAACGGAAAGCAAAGTGGAAACTCCTTGAATCTTGATGGGAAAAATGTTGATGAAGCTCATGAAGGTGAAGACCAGATCAACGAGGAAGTACAAACTGCTTATAGGAAAGAAAATTCAGGTGAAATTGAAGAACTTTCACCGTATGATTTAGCCCCTGATTTGTCTCGGGAGGCTAAGGAAGAAAAAAGTGAGAATCACCGACTTTCACCAAATCATGACCCATTAGGCAACTCTATTCTTTCTCTCCAATCTGTCCAGGAAGCTCTTGAAAGTGGTGGGTGTGTTATCCTTATACTAAAATTGATAAGCCTTTTTCGTGGTTTACTAATGTCTGATGTTCATTGCTCTGCAATTCCTGCTTGGTGGTCATACCACTTAATTTGCTCATATTTCAGTTAGCTTATTAATTTGAAAACCCTCAGAAATATTTCCCCAAGTATTTACTTAAAGCAGTTGATTACTTCTCCCTTTGTTTCAGCATTGGACTAAGATTGAAAATAGTTGTTCTACAAAAGGTCACATGAGGCCAATTTTGAAAATTGCTATACCATTCAGACTACTTAGTCTCACCGACTGTTAAAGCTACTCCAAATAGCAGAAGTGTACTTAGGCTATATACCGTTAGGTTGGTGAATCATGCATTGATAATTGACTTCAATAGTAATCATCTGGTAATGTCCTGATATCACCAAGAAAAAAATCACCCGGAAAGGGATTTTTGTTGATGAATAATCTTCGAGTTAATTCACGGGAGAATGACAGCAAATAATTTTGCTGGTTTTTGGTCAATGTTAACTCAGGGATGGGGTTGTGAAAAGTGGACAGCAAAAAATTATTTATGTTGTCTATTATACGGTACAAGTATAGGGCATAGAATTATTATCTCGCCCAGGGCATTAAAACTCATTGGACCGGCCCTGACCATTGGATATAATGAATACCATTATACAATATGAATAGGGTGCATCATAGCTAGGGATGGATATTTATCCAAATTTGACTAGAAAAAAATGAGTTTTATTCGGGTCAGAATTTTTAAGAATGAGGTCAGGTTTGAATTTATTGTAAAAAAGATATAATTCGACTCAAGAATAATAATATAATTGATCTTTGTCTATATATTAGAGATAATTGTTATAACATTCATCTATCTATATATTTTTTCCAATTAAATTCTTATTTTACCAAATAAAAATGAAATTTTATATAATTGTGTCAGATCAAATGTGAGTTTTTAACTTAAAAATTGGATTCAGTTTCGATTAGACGACTAAATTCTTATTTAACCAAATAAAAATGAATTTTATATAATTGTATCGGATTAAATGTGAGATTTTAACTTAAAAATTGGATCCAGTTTCGCATTAGGTGAAATTTCTCTAAACTCAAGTCCAGTCAAATGACATGTGAAGAATATTATACTGTGGTTAAATGTGAGTTTTTAGGTGTAATTATTGTTCACTGTATCAAATAGGACTGTAAATGAGTGGGTTAAATTTGAGTGAGTCAAATGACAGATGAAGAATATTATACTCGTTTCAAGTCTGTTTATAAAGGGTTTCTGTTTCTTGACCAACAAGAAAACACTGTCGCAATCGAAGTACTGAACCTTCGAAACCTTGGAGCCATCAAGAGTTTCACGACTGAATGTGAGGTTTTAAGAAATGTTCGACATCGAAATCTTGTCTCGCTGATAACGTGCTGCTCAAGCATAAACTTCCAAGGCAACGATTTTCTAGTTTTGAATTCAGGGAAAATGGAAGTTTAGAGAGTTGATCCTATTTTGTTAACTGAAGACATTTGATGATGTATCCATACTATGTAATCGTGTCGTTGCAGAATACATATTCGATTGAAAAATATTCGTTCGATACATAACAGTTTCATATCACAAAAATCGTGATGTGACTCTAAAAATCGCTATAATACGATTATTATTTCGTATTGCCGCCGCAATTTAATACTATGATTCCCTCTGAGATGCAATAAGCAGTGCTCATGACAGTGATCATAGGATTAAAACCAACGGCGCTTGGTAAAACACTCGCATCACAAACGAACAATCCTTGAGCTTCCCAACTCTCTCCGTTTTCATCGACCGCACCATCTTTTTCATTAACGCCCATCCTACAACTCCCCATCTGGTGAGCACTGCAGTGCACGGTCCAGTTTTCGACATACGACAACGGTCCGCCATCTGCCGAGACAGTGTCCAAAAACTCGCCCAACTCATCATCTTTCACCCCTTTGCATCTCATTCTTTGTCCATCACTTCGATAAGTCCCGACCTCAACAGCCCCGGCCGCTACTAAAACCCTCAATGCTCGTCTCAGCCCGGCTCGAATGTTTTCTCGATCCAACTTTTCGAACTTGTACGATATCCGTCCATCGGTTTCAACTTTTCCGGTCCCTCGGTCCCTTATTATCGTTAGCATGGTAGCAGTTCTTGGAAATCTTAGCATCCTCTGTTTGATGTCGAGACCGGACACCCAAGGACATACAGAAATGAACTGTCCTGGTCCCATTAGTGGAGTTTCGATAATGGCTTGCAATTTGTTATCGGATCCCAATACTTGATGAACCGATGTTATGACCCCACCTTCGGTGGATTTACCTTCGAGGTCTGAAATCGAATCCGGGAAGTAACCCCAAGCCAATGTAACTGGGTGGAGATGAAGGTTCTGACCGATGTTCGGATTCTTAAGCCCGCCTGAATACATCAAAAGAGGTGTGTTAAGTGCCCCACAGGCTGAGATTGTCACATTGGCTTCTATTTGCAGTTTCTTCTTGATGTTTTGGTTTGAAGATTGTGCAATAACACCCAAACACTTGAGTTTCCTCGTACTTGTTCTTGTCTTGTTCGGTTCCAACATCAATTTCTCTGCTTTACAGGCTGTTAAAATGACCGCGCCATTGTTAACTGCATCAACCAGCCATGTTTTATCGGTCCCTTTCTTGTCTCCTCTTCTGCAACCGTACCCACAAGATCCACAGTAATGGCCTTCTGAAGAATTTCGAGGCACTTTTTCGACTTCGAGTCCGAGATTTCGACACCCTTTACGAAGAACTTGATTCTGCAAACTTTCCAATTTACAATCCTCCGTGACACCGAGTCTCTTAAAAACAATATCCATAGCTGACTGATACTCCCTGCTCTTGAAAACCGAGAGTTTACACTCCTCGGCCCATTCTCGAAGTAATGGTTCCGGCGTCCGTATACAAGCCGACCAATTAACAGCCGAGCCACCGCCAACGTAGAGCCTGCGAGAATCATTATCTGTCCATCCACACTCGGAAAGTTTGCGCCTAGTTCATATAGGTTCTCCAACGAAGGACCTTCGAATGGGGAATAATCCACCGGACCATAGTACTCTCCTTTCTCTAACACGATCACCTTCATCCCCGAACTTGCCAATGTGGCCGCCGCGACACCGCCTCCACATCCGGAACCGACTACTACTGCATCACATTTGATCTTGACGACGTTTTTCCGTTGATCTTCGGTGACTTGAAGGCCTTTCTTTGTTAAAGAATTGCAAAGATCAGTGACGTCTTTTGCAAGCAATGTCTCAACTATTCCTTTTTTAAGAGGTTTCTCATTTGGAACATCCTCAACCTTGTCTATGTTGTACCCTATTGCTTCCCACAATGGATTTTCACCATTCTTGTCGACCTGAAACATCAAATTATAACTCGTAATCGTATTCAAATATGCATTATAACTCGTATTCATATTTGAATATGCATTAATAATTACCCTAACGAAGACATGGTAAAGGATGATCAGTTTGAGGAAGACGAAAGCACTCCTGATCGGAGTAAAGATCCGATGCTTAAGCCAAGATTGTATAACTTGCTCTCTTTTCGCCACTGGAATACTCGAAAATCGGTTAATGTAAGGCCATTTCCCGCCCAAACAATGCCTTCCACAGAGCAACAACGTCCCGATTCCGCTCGACAACAACAGCAACACGATTCTCACCAGTGTCAAACATTCCAGGGATGCTCTTTTCCATATTGCCTCGGCTGCCTAATAAACCGGAAATGAATAAGTTTAATTCGGTTAATTCGATAGAAGCTCGAACTCGAACACGATCTGAACCGACTCGATGACCCGAATCATGTGATAAAATGAAATAACTGAGTTTTACCTCATTCGGAATCGGTGATTCGGAGGCCGAAGCTTCCATGAAAGACCAAACAGCTTTGCTCGACGGTGTCTGGTTTTCTTCATGACAACAAGTCGGCGACAGAGGAGGGAACAGGGTTTCAGCCACGGCTGCCAGTGTGTTTAGCTCCGATGAAAAGAGCCCGTGGTCGTATTTCCTGTCCGATCCTTCCATTTTCCTCTCCTTTTTTTGGTTCCCACAAACACTGATTGATCATTTCCTCTGTTTCGAGTCCCTTTTTATATAGGAAAAAGTGGAGCCTTTAATCCATTCCATAACTAACTTCCGACTTTACACACAGAGCATGGACGTGGTTGAGGTCAAACCCTCTAACTTTTTCAACTTTTTAATTAGGCCCCTCTGATTTTTTCCAATAGGGGCTCTTATTCTTCCTAGTGTACGAGTATTTGCTAAATTATTGTTAGTCAAAGTGCAACCAATAAAAAAGGGGTAAATTACACCCGCAATCACTTAAGTAAAGGAAGATTATAATCTGATCATTAATTTTTTGGGTAAAGTAGGTCCCCTGATTTTAAGGTACTACTTTATTAAGTCACTCGACTATTAAAAGTTACAGAATTGTCCTCCGACCATAGAGTGTTGCTTTGTTGAGTCCCTCGACTATTAAAAATTACAAAATGTTCATCTGACTATTCACTATGTTCCGAACCCATCATTTTAAGTTAAAAAATAGTGTGTTGCTATTATCTTGGTGTGGCAGGCACTTGTTGATGCCCCAGTTATGTTCAGAGGCCAAATGAACTTCAAGAGGCTTACATTGACCGATATCACAGTCGACATCCCCCTGTTCCGAAGAAAAATACATTGATCGAAGCTGTGGAGAAGGCTGGTAAGGACAATGATTTTTACTGTCATCATGTTGTTTCTCAAAAGTACAATTTTCTTGCGAAATTGTTTCCATTCGACTGCGGACAGATGTTAAGAACAAGTGGGAGAATAGCTCAAGGGGCAGGAAACTGATTGTCCAGAAGAGAAGGGCATCTCTCAATGACTTCGATCGGTTCAAGCTTATGCTAGCTAAGATCAAGGTCAGTTCATCTTATAACATGTTTACCGGATTTATGCACGGTTGTTCTTATCGAAATCCAAAATTCTTCCTTGAAACCTTGATCTGAGCTAACTGGCTGTAATGTATTTTGCAGAGGGCCGGAGTCGTCAGGCAAGAGCCCGATACCGAACCGAATCATGGGGTTCCGCTAGTTTTGTCATGAACATTTTGTAGTGAGTTTATTTGCCAGATATCGCTCGTCAAATGTGGTGCTTGCAATGTTTCTTCGTCAAACTCCTGTTATTTATATTGGATGCATGAGACACTATCTGTAATACTTGTCAAATGTTAAAGGGTTTAAATAGCTTTATGTCCCTGAACTTTCCAACTTTTCTTATATTAGTCCTTTAAAGTTCTTTTCACATTAGTTCTTGAACTTGGATTTTGTCATTTTGATGATGTAGTAATTGATATTGTATCGAGTCATCAATGGGACTAAAAATGAGCAAAGTTGATCAGTTCAAGGACTAATGTGGAAGAAGAAATCTTGAATCAAAATAGAGAAGTTATTATGAGTTTGTTTCTTCCAATACTTAAATTGGACGGAAAGTATTTGGGTTATTCAATTATAGAAAAGGTTTAATACACAAATTGGTCCATAAATTTGGGAAGTTTGGTCAAATTGGCCCTTAAACTTGGAACTTCTATCAAATGAATGCAAAACAATAGCATGCAAAGCTGAATTTATCCGACTTGTGATCTCAATTATCTTCTAGAATTGGTTGCACACACTACACCTACTTCTCTTGGACCTCGTAACCACTGTTTATTTCAGCGGTTGAAGTGTTCTTTACTTGTCGATTCTTTTCAGGGTAAATTATACCATTTCACACTAAACTTTACATTTTCTCCTATTTCACTCACTATACTTTAAATTTTTTAATCTACTCACTGAACTTTTGAATCACTTTGGATTATTTTATTATTGTTGTATGATGTGGAATTTATTATTATTATTCAATATAAAAATAATTTAAAATAAATAATAAAATAATATTCTATTATTGTTAAATTTAAAAAGACTTAAAATAATTACCGCCCACCATCGACCATTGTCAACCTTCGAAATAATAATAAAATTACTTTATATTAAAAAATAATAAATGATATCACATCATACACAAATAATAAAATAATTTAAAGTGGTCAAAATAAGAGCAATTTAAAAGTTCAGTGAGTAAATTAGAAAAATTGAAAGTATAATAAATAAAATAAGAGAAAGTAAAATCCAGTGAAAATGATGAATTTTACTATTTTTTAAAAATATTTGGAGTTATTCAAAATTAATTTAAAATTATTGAGACGATACTCTCAATCTAATTTATTTTATTTATAAACGTCGAGATTTAAATCATTAATTTTATTTATATTGATTAATACATGACATAGACAGATGTTGCATTCTTTTTCATGCAGCTTTGAATCAAGATATGTACAAGCTAAAAGTAGGAACAAATATGTCTAATTAATTCCAATATATTGTTTACCTAGCTCACCAGAACTGATATTTAAGGCTCTATGAGCCATGTCGGTCCAATTTTCATATACCTATCCCATAAATTTTCTATGGGTAAACTACACCAGATACTATTCGAAATTTTAGTCGTTATATTATCTATGTTATTGAACTTTTAATTTTATCAATTAAAACATCAAATTTTGATTTTCGTTTCAATTATAGCATTGGTGAGGTGTCTATGTCGACAGTCGTCAGCCATGTCATTGTACCATTAACGAGATTCGGTGGAATAATCGAAACGAAAATAAAAGTTTAGTGTTATGATTGATAAAATTGAAAAATTTTAAGTTATCGATCTTGAATAAAATTTAAATTTAAATAAATCTGATAATGTTAAACTGATTTAAGATGACCAATCAGTAGAATTCAGTTTTTCTTTTTAAATTTTCTCGGGAAAAATCAATAGAATGAGAAAAAAATGGCAGTTAGAGGAGTAAACTTGCTGAGCAGATACAATCAGAACCAATAAATTTTCCCATTTAAAAACATTAATAACTTAAATTTCAAAACTTAAATATATTTTGTTCAAACAGATTCAGATTTTCTATTAACTTCAAACATATCAGCAATTTGTATTTATTTGCCAACAAGAAAATGGAAACAAAATTGTTTTTAACTTTCTTGTATATAATGATCTTCAGAAACACTCCCCATCACAAAGTTGAAGGATTTTGAAATATGGGACTAAAAGATATCCGCTTTAAGCTCAAGGTAAGCAAAATCCAACGCCATTTTCATTTATTTTTTTGGTCAGAGGTGACTTTCTTCATAAATTTAACGTATGAAGAACGAAATGAATCGCTTTGAAGATCGAAACCCAGATTTTCTTTTCCGTGTTTGACTTCGTATAAAGCTTAGTTCTCATTAAACGTATCTGGGAATTTTTTTTTCTTATGTTTTCTGGATTTTTTTGGATGATGGAGCAGGCGTTTAAGCTGAGACGATTTCGTGGAAGCAAGAAAAGAGAGAACAGGGTTAAAAAGAAGCCTTCATGGATGATTCCGGTCTCTCATGGCTACCATGTTGTTGAAAATAAGTCACTGAGAGGCAGCTCCGATGAACGGGAACTTGATTCCGTCGTGGTTCAGAGAGAGCAAATCGATGAGCTCGAGTTATGGTTCTTCGGAGTTTTTGATGCGAGGATTGGCGATGGAGTTACCAAGTTTATGCAGTCTCATTTCTTTGATAAGAAGCCTAAACAAGTAAACAATGAATCATATATATATATACGTGTACGTGCAAGTGTAGAATGAGATTTTAATGTCGAAAACTTCTGTTGCAGTCTCGAATCAACAGGAAGACGAAGGAGACGATGAAGAAAGTGTATCTTGGAGCGAGAGCAAAGGCGAGAGAGGCGCAGAAGGACGACGAGACAATTCGAGCAGGGTCGGCGTCTGTGATGGTCATCAATGGAGAAAAGCTTGTGATGGCCAACCTTGGCGGCTATAGAGCCGTTGTATGTAGAGACGGTGTGGCTCATCAGCTGAGCAGCAAGCATCATGGTGGAGCCAGCAGACATTGGACTCGTAGGCTGTTTCCAGGTATCGAAACCCGAGTTTAAATCATTCAGATTTTCGATTCTCGAAATGTAACACTATCTGATACCGTTTCATGGGTCACATTTGTGCCTAAAGTTCGTATATTAGTATGCGATTCGAGCGATGCAGAGGCTATAAGGCCCCCCAAGAGCTCAGAACTCGCCGTTGGGGCCGAAAAGATCGATGCCGACACCGAGTTCATCATCATAGCTAGCACCGGAATCTGGGAGGTATGTCGGAATAAAACCATCTGTCATCGTGTTCCGATGCATTTTCCAACACCATCTGTATCACGTTCTGATCATGATGTGCATTGTTGGTGATTCTCAGGTGATGAAAAACCAAGAAGCTGTGAATCTCATCAGGCATTTGGAAGATCCACAGGAAGCAGCAGAGTGCCTGACGAAGGAGGCTTTAACGAGGATGAGCAAGAGCGATATCTCATGTGTCATCATTCGATTCGATTAGTAGTTTTGTGTTTTCATCTGTATCAGTGAATCTGAATCTGCAAATCAAACCCTTTTCTTCCCCATTTCGTGTTCATCACTTGACCTTTCTCAAGGTAATAAAAGGGACCTTCCATTTCATTTTACGGAAAACTATCACAAATGGGTTTCATTTTTTATTTTTAGTATTTTGACCCCAACATTTCATTTTAGGTTAAAAAGGATCCTAACATTTGATAAAATAATCACTTTGCCACTTATTCTTTTGTTCTGGGATGTTTCAACCCGCAACATTTCATTTTAGGTTAAAAAAGATCCTATTTTAGAGTATTAATCGTGTTAACTAATGATTTTTATCTACAGAATGAGCTTTTTGCCTTAAAATAAAAAGTTGAGAGACAAAATGCTTCAAAAAATAAAATAGGAGGCAAAATGACCATTTTAATAAACATTGAGAGTTATTTTTAGCGTTATACCTATTGAGTTTTGTAATTTTTTATCATTTTTTAACTTATTTTTAGTTATTAAAATCCAACGTTCTTCGACGTCTTTCATGATAACTCTAGATATCGATAATTTTGTCCCATCAATTTATATCACTTCACTGATTTTTTTTTCAAAACTCTTGAAATTAAACATAAAAAATCATCATTTTTTTAGGTATAAGACTCGTGTTTGAAGGGTTGAGGTGTTATGGAACCTTTAGATGATTTTTTTTTATCAATTTTGAATATATTTTATGAAAAAATAATCTAATATAAAAAGATAATTTATGCATTCAGTGTCTAAACTATTAATTTTGATATGTTTTAATACTTAAATTTTTAACTTTTTTATTCAAAATCATATCTAAAGTTTAATTTTTGTTTCATTTTAATACCCTCATTCAAAATTTAACGTTAAGTTTTGAAAAAAAATTAAAAGTTTAAGTATTAAAATAAATCAAAATTGATAGTTTAAGTACTAAACATGGTAAATTTTTAACGACAGAGTACTAAAATAATATGAAAACTAAATGATAAGTATAGTTTTGAAAAACTTGAAAGTTTAGTATTAAAACGACCAAAACTAATAATTTAGATACTAAATACATAATCTACCCTAAAAAAACAAATTGATACCTAAATTAAAGTTCAATGATTAATTAAAAAAATTGTAAAATTTAATGACAAAATCAATATACAAATTAGAGTTGATAGAAAATAAATTACCACATCATCAGACCCTGGTTACATTGAATCCAATACCAAAGATTAATAGGGTTGAAATTGAAGTACTTTAAAATTCAATGGTAAAAGCAATAAAGAACCGAAAATTCGGTGATATTTGGGGTAGTTTACTCATTTTATAAAAAGGTTGCGGCCTAATGGAAGAACCAAGCTAAACCCCATGTGATTTCTCATTCACAGTAAACAATGGCAGAATTCATGAACACATAAGAAAGAAAACATAAATCGGGACGAAAAGTCGGCTCGAAACCAATTAGGTTTAAGACCATTAACCAATGAAAGTGGCTGCAGAAAGAATTTTTTCTTACAAACATATCCATGGAAAAGAAATAACAAAAGTTTATGGCTTCACCTTCATCCTCCAGCCATATACTTCTTTTCACTGGTCTTGCTTCGGAACGATGACAACAATGAAAACGAGCGAGAGCTGTATGATTATATATGTAAAGTCATTCAGATTCTCCACCTTCAATGATGTAAAATGAAATGGAGTCGAAGGCGAAGAAGGGCAATGAGCAGCGGATACTTACATTTTTTTGGTGTATTACCGGCTGTCGGGGTCTCGTCCTGGGAGATCAGATTCTTCAACATATGAACTGATAAAAATCAGAAAACTAGTCAGCTTCGGAACCGAATGCAATCGAATTTTTAAATGCATCGAATATCGATCAAAGTTCACAAGGGATGGAACACAAGGCAATTACCTTCACTGGATGAGGCAGCATTTGGAACCAACTCTTCAGCCTCACTGCTCAAGTCGATACTATGTTCGCTTCTAGCTGAGTTATGATTCTTTTTTCCGAACTTCAACAGCCGTCGGAATCCTTTTGATGAGTCCTTTACCTGAGGCACATCCAACACCTCAGGAATCTTTTCTAGTTTCAAGTTATTAGTGTCAGCTACAAGAGCTCTAACATTCTGAGTTTGTTGTTGCAGCTGGCATGCTAGCTGGAGGTGCTCTGACATACTCGGAAATTTCGGTACATGGATCATCCACAGAAGAAACCCGAGCTAAAGGGGCTTGATACTTTTTTCCGGTAACACTTGCACTAGTAAATTTCAACAATTCCTTCTCCGTGTCACTTATATTTGCCTTCTGAGCCTGCAAATATGTACAGCGTATTTAGAGACACGTGAACAAGAAATGATAATTAGAAGTTGGAACTGTAAAATTTGAGGCTAGTCTTTCTTATAAATCCTACCTCATAAGCTCTTTGTTTTTGTTGTATCTGTTCTTTATCGAGTGCTTGAGGATTCAATGAAGAAACTGGTGCATGAACGGCAGCAGAATCCGACACCATCTCAGTCTCCCTCCTGATTTTAAAGATGCCATCATTTCCCTTCTTAACTACCGTAGTTCCTTTGGATGAGTTTACTGCAGGAACGGATTCAAGCATCACAACAGTTTTCTCAACCACTGTACTGTCGTCCCCATCAGCATGAAGTGAAACTTCTTCCTTGTTCCTACTTGGTTCAGTAACACGGTGGTCGAAGAAATACTTCCAGTCACCTTCTGAGTCATTTCATTTCCTCCCAATTTGCTGCTGGTAACATCAGGGGCTTTAGTTGTTTTAATTTTGAGCTCGGGAAGGGACGCAATCATACTTTTACCATGGTTCACAATTGCTGATATTTTTTTGCTTTCAGGCACACCAGATACTTTTGTACTCTTCGATGGCTAGGAGTGCCGCGACTTCACTGAATAAACAAGTGGGCTGCTAATTGTTTTCGGTTCTGATAATCTCCTAATCCTTGCCATAGATGCCTTTGTATCAGGAGTTACACCGCCATTGTCTTTCTTCGGTACAGGCAATGATGAAACTGACTGGCTTAACCTATTTCCGCGGCGGTGTTCAGTTTGCTCGGTTTAGAAGCTTTGTGAGAACCAGCTGATCCCACAGAAGCAGGCTTGATGGATCTTTGTAGTGGCGACGACGGTCCAGGCTCACCATCAGTAAACTTTGATGCCTTATGAGAGCTCGGAGATGGCAAATGTTTAGAGCTTTGTGCGGCTACTGACGACTGAGCCGGAATAGAACCACCTCTAGCAGCAATTCTCTTTTGTCTCTCCATCTTCAATGCTTCAAGTCGTTTAATTTCAGCATCTTCCTGAAAATGTGTTAATGAATTACTAATAACATGGCCTAGTTGTAAAGAGAGGCGAGGTTGAACTATAAGCACTCGAAGAATTCAATGCACCAAAAGCAGAATACCTTCTCCTTCTTTAGCTTCTGAAGATCAGCTTTATAGGTTCTTAGCCTCTCGGCCCGGACTTTTGCTTCATCCAAAGGACTTGGTTTCGAAGGTTTTCCTCTCCTTATTGGCCCTACAGCTTTCTTTTTATCAGAAGGATCAGCAATAAGTTTCGATTTTCGATCCTTTTCCGACTTTTTAGACCCTTGCGTTCCCTCTTTATTTTTCTTACTCAGTGAAGTACCATCTTCAACATGAGCCTGCATTTCATAATCCAAGGCCGGATCATACCTGATTGACCCCATTTCGGCTCATCGCTCAGGCATCAAAGTCAAATCATCGAGTTCATAATTGACCTGGCTTCCAATCCCACTAGGTATATTTTCTGCTTTCTGAAGTGACAATGAGAAATCAGAATCCATATGGATAGCACTGCGGTCATCGGTTCCGAGTTGAGTGACTGAAGTGGACCTGAATGGAATTATGTAGGAATCATAATTTATATTATTCGATGATCTTCTTTCCGAACCGTTGGATGAACGTTCAAACCGGTTAAAAGTCTGTAGATCTGATGGAGAATTTGTAAAATCTGACAGATTCTGTTGTCTTTCTACGATGAATCCATCGTTTATGTTTCTTCGATAAACCCTCCTGCCATCCATTTCACCATCAATGAAAATTCTGCCATCGTCAACAGCATGACCACCTCTTCCAATAGTCGAAGACTGATCATTCGATCCTCTAGGCATGCGAGAGCCACTTGCACTAATTTCATGCATGTCAGTTGCATTCCCTTCTTCGAACTGACCCATTTCTCGCCCCCTGAAAACTAAAGGATCTTCACTTCCACGCACTCGATTCGGTCTTCTCTTTCCTTGAAACATTTCTCGGTCAGTTCTACATTCTTCTTCTTCGGCATCCTTAAGTAAATAAGTTTGAAATGCTTGCCAGTGTCCACCATCCGTATCCTTCCCGTTAGCTGCTTCTTCCCTATCATATGCATCAACAGACTTTGTTCGACTTCCATTCACCTTCGAGGATCTCCGAGAGTTCTTATGCTCAGTATCTCCATCCTCCACCTCCTCTTCAGAGCCAGAATGCGACTGCGAATCACTGCCTGAAGAGTTCTCCCTCTTTGAAGTGATATAATTGACGTATGACCACCGTTCCCGACTTTCTTTTACTTGACCTACTACTCTTCTTTCTCGATTTTGGACTTGGTGAATTTCCGTTCTCCAACTCCTCATTAACTTAGATTTTGATCTCTCAATCTCCCAGGTATCTGATCCACTATGGCTTTCCCTGCTATCCATTGAATGCCGTTTCTGTATTCTTTTACCAAAATTGTGTCTTGGATCCTCCATTGATGGATAAGGTTGCTGAAAGAAGGGACTACCTCTAGGGTAATTTGGGTAGTAAGGCATCCCTTGCATAGGATATCCTTGAAAGGGAGGCATACCACCAGGTGGAGAATGGATAGGCCAGGGAGGAAACATCGGGTGCGGATACTGAGCTTGATAATATTATTGACGAGCAGGGGTTTGTTGATCCATTGGTGGTCTGGCCATATCAGAATTTTATTTATTTCAGTTCATACTTTAGGTGAAAGTAGCAAACATGAATAAAACATTTGTCAAGCACAAAAATGAGGTGTT